GCCTGGAACTTCTCTGGGACTGGGGATTGAATTGTTTTCTAAATTTTGTGGGTGTGGGGACAGTGCTGTGTGGTTTAAATTTTTTGATCTATTTAAAAAGTGAGGCACATACACCCATGTTCATAGTAGCCCTGTTCACAATAGCCAAAAGGTGGAGGCAACCCAAGCGTCAATTGACAGACGAATGAATAGACAAAATGTGATATATGCATACGATGGATTATTGTTCAGCCTCAAAACGGAAGGAACTTCTGTCACATGCTACAACATGGATGAACCTTGAGGACATTATGCTAAGTGCAATAAGCCAGTCACAAAAGGACAAAGTATGATTCCATTCATATGAAGTACCTGGTGTAGGAGAATTTGTAGAAACAGAAAGTAGAATGGTGATTGCCAGGGGCTGAGGGAGAGGAGAATGTAAGCTGTTTGATGGGGACAGAGTTTCAGTTTTGCAAGATGAAAAGAGTTCTGGAGACGGATGGTGGTGATGGTTACACAACAATGTGAATATACTTAATACTACTGAATTGTATACTTAGAAGTGGTTAAGAGGGTAAATTTTAAGTTATATGTATTTCACCACAATTAAAAAGAAAAAAAAGAGTGAGGCACATCAGAGGCTTGGAGTCGAATTAATCCAAACTCTAAGGCCCTTCCTGGGAAGACAGCCCAGGCTGCAGCCACTGAAAGAACTCTATCTCACCCAGAACATCAAAAGCTCTTCTTTCTGAGACTAAAGAGAATAAGAAATTGAAATGTAATTTCTTTAAACTTAATCTTGATTGAGGGTGAGATGATTTAACTTCAGACTTCAATTTCTTGTTTTAACTACTTAGGACCTTCACTCATAAGGGGATTTTCTTTCGGACTTGGGACTCCTTGGTAATTTGATATGGAGAGGGGAGTTAAGGTCAAGTGTAGAATGTCTTATTGTTGGCATTTTATTGTTGGCGTGCCTTTGTGATATCTGGATTCTGCTTCATAACCTCTGATGGGTTATGTGGCTCAATGTGGCTGGAAATCATGTGAGTTGGAAAATAGAAGATCTACATTTTCTATGATGACTACAGAAAGGCCTTGAAGGACGTAATGTACTCTACTGACCCATCTCAGAACCTTACGGGGCAAAAATCCAGACTGCCTGCCCAGGAAGATCTGTAGTGGAGCAGTGGCTGGTATCGGGAGTGAGGGCTAGTTTCCTTTCTGAAGAGGCTGTCTTCACTTCCAGTTGACCATAGGCATAATGGTTAAGCATAATGGGTTCAAAGAACAAAAAATTGAGGCGTTTGGGGGGAAAGATGGTAGCTTCCCTGTAAGCTTCTTTAGGATTATAGTCACACTTATCCCTAATGTATCCAGTGAAGGGGCTTGAGTTAGTCTTGGTCCCTCTCTGCCTCTTCACATTCTCCTATTCAGGAGAGATCTTATTGGTAAATTTGGGAGCAACCCTTGAGCTCTGCCCCACCCCCATCCCTTTCTCCTTGGGCTCTGCCTGCCTTCAAGGTGCTGGGTCTCCCGTCTCTTTGGTCCAGGCAGTGAGCTGGGCAGAAAAAGCCTGGTCTAGTTGGGAGAGATGCTGCCAGAGGTTGGGTAGATAAATTTTACTGTGATTCAATATTAGAAATTCCATTGCTTCTCTATTGCTAAACCACATCCTCCAGCCTAGCTTTTATCAATGATAAAACAGCTATTTTGATCTCAAAAAAACAAATAGGATTTTTTTTCTAAAACTACATCTGCAGTCTAATTGTCCCTTGTGTCTGTGGTGTGCCATTAAGTTTGCAGAGCGCTTTCACTCGCTACATGCTATTTGATCTTCCTGACAATCCAGTGGGATTGGATGGATGTGAAAGCCTTCTGTAAGCTGCTTCAGTCTTATAATCACACTTATCCCTAATTACATAAAGCATGTCAGTGAGGTTTGAGAAGGTTAAGTAACTTGTTCGTGTTATAGGTGATGGGTTAGAATTAGAACTCAAGGCTTTGCCTTCTGGCAAGGGGCTACTGAAAACTAAGATGGCAAGAATTAATTCAAAGAGTGATAATATTTTCGACTGGAAACCAGTTTAATACTACAGTCTCGTTTTGAAACATTTGCTTATAACTTATTGGAAGGAACTTTAAGACTGGTGTATGTAAGCCATAGTGTGTCTGTGAATCACTGGGAATCTTGTTTAAAGTGGATATTCCTGTATCTGACACCTAGATATCCCAGCATGGGGGGGATGGTCTGCCGTGGGACCTAGGAATCCTCATTTTTATAAGGATTCCAAACTGTTCTAAACTCTTACCTGATTTTCTGTAGAGCAAGTTCTCAGTCACACATTCTCATCCCATTTTAAGGTTGACATTCTCTTTAATAAAGAGTAATGTGACAAATCCTGGCTTTCTTAGGAAAATAGAACTCACTAGGATACATCATGGTTAAACACGGATATGCCCATTTTGGGTGATGGGTTCCCACTTATCCAAACACCCCCCACCCCAGCCAGCTGGAGTGGAGTGCAGTGGAGAGCCATCTGTGCCCTGAAAGAGAGCAAAGCTCTGGAGGCACTGAACCTACGACCTGGGCCTCCAGGAAACTGAGTTAACTACCACATCATTAACTAATCCTGAATTAATTAGCCAGGAAGGGGCAATGCTTGGGCCTTGCACAATTTTGTACAAATTGTGTACCAGATGCTTGTATGTGCATGTATGTATGGCGGAATAAATGAGACAGTAGGTTTTGTAGGAATATTTGCTCCCATTTTTAATCAATTGGTACCTTTTAATGAGACAGCAAATAAGAAGGAGGCCCAAGATACAGCATTAACAACATAAAGAGCATGGGAGCCAAGGGTATGGTTTTTCATTTTTGTTTTTCGTTTTTATTTCAAAGACAAGGTAAGGATCAGGAATGCTCATGAGTGATTGCCACGCTCTCTAAGAGCCCAGGGAGACTGTGTGCCAACTGGTTTTCCACTCTTTGTACATCCCAGCCAAACTTCAGAGGAACCTCTTTTCATGTGAACTGGAAAAGATGAATTTCAAGCTTCATTGAGAACTTTAAAACCTTAAATCCTTCTTGAAAATAACCTGTCTCTCAGGAATCTTAAGGCCCAAAGAGTTATAAAGCTTTTCCCTGGGCTATGGAATGGCCGCATTATTAACTATGATTACTTAAGTCTCTGAATAGAAGGATGTAATAAATCTGCAAGTATTTGTTCTGGTTTGTGACTAAGCAAAACTGTATAATATTAAATCAGATGTTGTTATAAACATATGAAATGGCACATTTTTTTCCCAACTTGGGGCATTGTGGCATGAAGCTTCTGGGAAATCTAAAAAAATGTTTTTACATTCTTCGATACTGAGTCTGGTCTCTGGTAGGTTTTCTTCTTTCTGAGCATGCATGCTAAATAAAGGTTCTTCTGTTTAGCTCACTGGGTTTTCCCAGCAAGTCAGCAAGGCTGAGCAGAGGTGTTCTCACTCGTTTGTGGGCTGTTCTATGGGGGTGGAACTGGAGACCTGCGCAGCGTGCATGTGTGTGTTTGTGTGTTCATGTGTATCTGTCGGGTGGAGGAGATGAATGACATCCTAGCACCCTGGAATGTTCACGTTAAGGTATCCTAGACACAAGCTAGTTCACCAGGCTCCTCATTACCCAGGTCATGTTTTCAAACTTAGGTTCAAATGTGCGTGAGAGAGAAAGCTGTAAGGATCTGACGTTTGGAAGGAATTTTGACAGAGCAGTGAATTCAAGTCCATGTTTCTAGGCTAGACCTCTTGCCTTACTAGACAACTGCTGTTGGAACAGGAGGGTTGTCAGCCACAGAGCAAACCTGCAGTTGTCCTCAGGGGTCACTGCCGGGCCCGGTGGAATGACAGACAATCATGACTCTGGGGAAAGCTGCACGTTTGCCTCTGGGAAGTGGTCATGTTGACCTTCAGTTTCACACCTCAAAGGGGTGGTAATGCCCCTATATGGTGCAGACAATGATGAGAAGAGAACTGCGAAGAAGTCGTAACACACGGAGTGCTAAAAAGTCCTCACAGGGGGCCGCCCGGTGGCCGAGTGGTTAAGTTTGCGCGCTCGCTTCGGTGGCCCAGGGTTTCGCCAGTTCAGATCCTGGGCGCCGACATGGCACCACGCATCAGGCCATGCTGAGGCGGCATCCCACATGCCACAACTAGAAGGACCCATAACTAAAATATACAACTATATACTGGGGGGATCTGGGGAGTAAAAAAAAAAAAGTCATTAGAGTTTTTCTTGCATTGGCGCTTATAGGTGATTTTTCTTTCTGTAGTTTCCAGATATTTTATTTTTTGTAATTAAGAAAACAAATTGATATTTAAAATAAAACTATAGCCTCAGAACGTTTGTGTATTTAATAATCACTTTTTAAAAAAATAATTTTGGGAGGGGGGCCGGCCTGATAGCGTAGTGTGGTTAAGTTCACCTGCTCCACTTTGGCGGCCCAGGGGTCGCCCGTTCGGATTCTGGGCCCAGACCTAGCACCACTCATCCAGTCATGCTCTGGTGGCATCCCACATAGAAGAACTAGAAGGACCTGCAACTAGGATAGACAACTATGTACTGGGACTTTGGGGAGAAAAAAAGAAAGAGGAAGATTGGCAACAGATGTTAGCTCAGGGCCAAGCTTCCTCACCAAAAAAAAAAAAAAAAAAAAAAGATAATTTTGGATATTGACAGTTTTCTACAAATTGTCAAGAGCCACACTGTCTGACATGGTAGCCATTAGCCGCATGGGGCAATTGAAATGTAGCTGGTCCAAATGGAGATACGCTGTATGTGTAAAATACGCACCAGATTTCAAAGATTTAGTACAAATAAAAGAGTGTAAGCTATCTTGGCAATCATTTTTATAATGATGACTCATTTAAATGATTACAATTTGACTATATTGGGTTAAATAAATTAGAATTAATTTCATCTATTTCTTTTTCTCTTTTTAACGTGGCTACTAGAAAGTTTTAAATTATATATGTGGATGTTGTATAGAGGAGAGAAGGTGAGCAGTCCCCTTAATGAGGATGGAAAAGGCCCTCAGCCCCGTGCAACACACGTATAGTGAAGGCATTTCCGCCTACTTGGTGGCATCACATGATTTTGAGAAAGGAGAGTGACTGCACCATGGATGTGAGGTTTCCTTCCGGCATGAGAAAAATGTCCTGGATCTAGATAGTGGTGATGGTTGCACAATATTGTGAATGCATTAAATGTCACTAATGGTGAATTTTATGTCATGTGTATTTTACCAGAATAAAAAAAATTACATATGGGGCTCACGTTATACTTCTGTTGTTCAATGCTTGTTTAAAGTAAAGAGGTGGGCGTGTGGCTTTGCTGAAAACAGTGTCTCTAGAAATAGGGAAAAAATACAAAGAGACAAGGATGGGTTGAAGACTGCTGGGAGAAGTCGGAAATCTTTTCTCTCTCCCTTTGGTAAAAATATTAACATGTGTCTCAGTTTCTTGCTATCCTTGTGGGCCCCCCTCCCCTCCCCCGCTGGCCTCAGCTTCATGTGGCCCCTGTCTCTTCACCATGCCTTCATCTTGTTTATCTCATTCCACTTTTCCTCCACGCTTGGCATTCTGCCCACAGCTAGGTTTCTCACTAAGATGATTCTTTTTCTAAAATTCCTCACAGTTGATGTGGTGTTAAGGAGTTAAGGATCTCGACTGTTGAAAGTAAAAAGAAAACACCCTGATCAAGCTCAACAAGCCCCCTCTCCTCCCAGATATTGTTGATTAAGAAAAATTAAAATCTTTCCTGTGCATCTTTAGGATCCAGCTTCTTAAAAGTAAACTATGGTATTAGAAGTCAGGATAGTGGTTCTGGGGGTTAGGGGCGGGGAGGAGGTGGATAGTGGCTTGGCTGCAGCCTAGAAAGGGTTTCCAGATGTGGGAAATACTCTTATTGATCTGGGTGCTGATTACCTCAGTGTGTCCACTTTGTGAAACTTTATGGAGCTTGTGACTTGTGTACTTCTCTGAATGTGCATTACACCACAATAGAAAGTTAAAAAGCAAAAAACAAATCCCCCTGTGAGGTGCGTACTTTTTTGCGTATTAAGCTGGCAGTCCTGGAGGGAGTGAATGCTGTGAGGTGGGTGCCTGTTTTGTGAAAATGGCTACTAGGGGGCGCTGTATCCCCTTCCTGTGGAACCCGGATTGCGGAGGCCTGGCAAGGAGGCCCCACCCCACAATCCTCTGACTAGAGATTTGTGAGTGAGTGACCCACGTCTGAAAATTTTTCTTCTTCATACTTTATATCTGTCTCTCCATTTGGGGCACTCACACACTTAGAAACCAGAGAGGGAGGGACCGGAGGGGGGTGTTGCTTACCAAGAGGCTTACTCAGTTGTTGGTATAGGGGAGACCCTAAGGACAGTCACATTCTTGGGAGAGATCAGAAATTCTTCCCTTGCTGTAAATAGACACCCGCAAGGAGCAGAGGGACAGCTCTGGAGTGACCAGGCCCAGCAGTTATCACCTACGGAAATCCTGTGTGCTGGTAAATACAGCGCTCAGCAAAGCCTGGAGAAGAGATTATGGGGAGCAGAGAGGGGCTGAGAATGTGAATGTGAGAGGTTACTAGCCAGATAGTGGCTGGAGAAACCAGAGGCAAGGCGGATTTTGGTTGGAGGAACATAAGCGGAAATGGGGGAGGAAAAATAAATAAGTGAGATAAACAACTTCATTTACTTCCTCCCTTATTACCCTTTTGTTTTTTGCTCAGGACTGTGGTCTCCCCTGAGATCTCCTCTTCTGGGGACAACAGGCTGGAGGCTGATTTTGGAATACAGACCTGGCTCCTACCTCCTTGCCCTGTACCCAGCCCTCCGCAGTGGACTTCCACATGGCCACTGGACGCGCTTCCTGGAGCCAGTCCCTGGGCAGGGTTTCCACAGGCTCACACCCCTGCTCCCACCTCTACTAGTGCAGAGAGCACAGGGCTGTCTGCCCAGGTGGACTCCCCACACCCCCACACCCTGGAGAGAGCAAGCATTGGGGTCACTGTGAGGTGGCTGGGTCAAGAGAGCTTAATAACAATGTTGTTGGCCTGTGGAGAGGTTTTCCTTTTCTTGGATCACAACCGGAAGTGATCAGCTTGGCCCCACGCTAGAGTGCTAATGTCCGGGTCTGCCTGCCTGCTGCAAGGCAATGCCTCAGGTCCTAACAACATCAACCTGTTTCCTTGGAAAGAATTTGGACCTCATGACATGGGTGAGAGGGAAGTGGTGGGTGGCTGGGAGAGCATCCTGTCTACACGCCAGCTCTGGCAGTGCTGGTTATGTGACGGGGGGCAGGTTTCCTAATCTTTGTGGGCCTTCATTCTGTCAACCATAAAATAAGCATGATGATGCTAATACAACATATATCCTACGATGATGATAATGCCTCGCATATATGTGAGGATCTGATGGCATGTACGTCAAAAGCACGTTGTAAACTGGAGAGTGCCTACAGATTGGCTCTCTGGAGGGGCTGTCAGCCAGGGTGCTATGAGGTGTGTGGAAAGAAAGCTGTTACCAAGAACTCAAAGAACTCCAGTTTGCATATGGTTTACTTTTCCTTTTGAGAATCTTTAAGGAGAATTGTTACCCTGATGAAATCAGTTAACCTCCACCCCTTGCCATGCTGTTGAGTTACTTAAGAAAGAAATAGCTCAACAGAAAACCAAGTCCTTGGAATGGTATTCTGGGGCTCACATCACTTTGCTTTCAGTCCACCCATGGGGCACTTCCATCCTGCTCAGACACACATCCACACCAGTCAGGGGATTGCTGGGACTCGCTTCTTCCACAGTAGTCAATGCCTTTGGAGGTTATTTCTACATTGCTTGTTTAAACCCAGGCCAGTGAACCCCCTCTCTGCTAGACCTACCTCTGTAAGAACACTCCTTGGTTTGAAGATGGGATGTGCCAGGGTAGTATGGAGAGAGAGGGGAGGCCAGGAGCAGCCATGTTGAAAGGCTCTCTATTGCTTAGCTGCCCTCTGAATGGGCTTCATAAAGATCCTGGGGGATTAGAGGCAAGGAAGAGATCCTAAAACCATTCACTAAATACTTATAGATTTATTGAGCCTCTACTATGGGCCAGACACTTTTAAGCTATAAGCAAAATGGACACAGACATTGTTGTCATTCATGGAGCTTACCATGCAGTAGGGAAACCTGGCCTGAAGCAACTAATGATGCAAACAATTAATTGCAAGAGCGATGAATGCTACGAAGGGGAAAGTGCAAGATGCCAAGGAAACATTTCAGCTGAGCCCTGAAGGATAACTGCCTCAGCTCAGTGAAGGGTGTGGTGAGTAGGGTGAGAAGTGGGGAAAGGCATTGCCAGCAGAGGGAACACAGGTTTGTACATATCCTCCATGGAAAGGGACATAATGCTGCGTATAGTCTACCTACCTCCAACCCAATCCTACTCTCTCATCCCAACACCTTCTTCCTCTGGAACTCTGCAAACACAGTTTCTTTTTGGTTTTTTTTGCAACCAAACTAACATCTCTTGTCAATCTTCCTCTTTTTTTTTTTTCCTCCCCAAAACCCGAGTGTCTGATTGAATATCCTAGTTGTAAGTCCTTCTGGTTCTTCTATGTGAGCTGCTGACACAGCATGGCTACTGACAGCCAGGTGGTGTGGTTCCACGCCCGGGAAATGAACCTGGGCCACCAAAGCAGTGAGAGCGCCGAACTTTAACCACTAGACCAGCAGGGCTGGCTCACAAATACAGTTTCTTGACTAAACACAGAGAGGTTCTCCTTACTTATGAAACCATCCCAATTTGTACATTTTCTTATTATGCTTGTAAAACTTGCCTGTTCCTTTTTGCTGCCCTCTCCCTACCCCTAACATAACTGGCCAAAAGAAAAACTCCAAGAAAACACACACTCCCAGAGTTTATTATAGTTATTATGACTCAGACAGATTTGAAGACTAGAATTTAATGGAGGCTTTCCTAACATTCCTTGGGGACTTGAAGGATTTTTTTCCCACCAGCCACAAAGCAGGATTATAAAAACACATTTCTTTCTTAAAAGAAAAGAAGAAACCCTCTGAATTCAAAATTCTGATTATTCTAAAAGCAGAGTGCTTATTCCATATTTTCATATTGTCTCCCTATCTGGCTTTTCTCCCTCCTTCTCTTTTCCTTTATTTCTCTGGTGTAGTAATAAGCAAAATAAACATGGAGTTGACCTTGCTCTTGACCTTGCTGTGTGACTTTGGCCAAGGCACTTCCCCTCTCTCAGCCTCAGTTTCTTCAAATGTAGAACATGGGGATGAATTGCAGGACTCAGTTTTCCTTGGAACTCTAGCATTCCTTAGTTCTCATGGGAGAACCTCAACAAATAGGCAATTCATTCAGGAGCTCCGAGTCCCATATGAAAAGCTGAGGTTGATTGAAAATCTCCTTCCTCAGGAGGCAAACAGGAGGCAAGGCCTTCCTCCTCCTCAGAGATCATCTTGGTGGAGCCAATTTAGGTATCTAGGAAGGTTCTCTTCCCCTCAGGCCGGCCTTGGTCTCTCCAGCTTGCCTCATTCCACATTCACCGTTTCTACAGGCCTTTGGAACTCCAGAAATCCTTCCTTAGTTTTCCCAGGTACACCTGCTGTTCCCCACACGGATCTCCACCCCTGTGAATGTCCAGACCAAGAATTAAGTGCCTCCAGGATCCAAGTCTGTAACACAAGTGAGGAAAGACATCTGGGTTAGGTGCACAGGCCCAGAGTGGACACAGCCACCTCAGGGCTCGCGCTCCATCCAAGGAGACTAAGTTCCACTTAGCTGAGACCAGTGGCGTCATTCTGAAATAAGTGTGCGGTGTTGCTAGATATTCTGCTGGTCTTTGAAGAGAAGTTGAACATCACTATTTTAAAGTCAAATGTGTCTCAATTTTTAAAAATTGCAGCATGAGCCAAAGACAAAAATCTGTGGGTCAGCTTTAACCTGTGGCTGCTGGTTTGCTACCTCTGTGTGTAGGCAAAGTATTGGGTCCTATATACATTCTACATGGTGTTTACAAAATCTGTAATACTTATCTATGCATTCATTCCTGTGATAATGATTGGTCACCTAATATGAGCTGGTCCTACCATAGGGAG